TCTTCGACAAGCTGTGCCGTGAAAAGAATGTTGAGTGCGTAGAACCACGCACTACAGCTCGTCTTTTGGACAAATTGGTTGGCGAATTCCTCGAAAGCACATTCGTTTCACCTACCTTCCTCATTGGACATCCACAAATTATGAGCCCTCTTGCAAAGTGGCATAGGTAAGCAGCTACTGCCCAAATGTGGGAGACCTGCGTAGCCTCAATGAAGTTATTGTTTCTAGATCAGTTCCTGGTCTTACTGAAAGGTTTGAATTGTTTGCTGTTACGAGAGAAATTGCCAATGCGTACACTGAATTGAATGATCCCATTAGACAACGACAAAGTTTTGAACAACAGGCTGCTGTAAGTGTTTTTCAATGGGATTGATCAGGTAGTGTTTATATTGAATGGTATTTATATATTCAGGACAAGAGTGCTGGAGATGACGAAGCTCAATTAATTGATGAGAACTTCTGCACTGCATTGGAGTATGGCCTACCACCCACAGCCGGCTGGGGAATGGGTATTGACCGCTTGACAATGATCCTGACCGATAGCAACAACATTAAGGTAATCGCATCATAAGATTTCCCTTTATCGTTTTTTTATGCGCTATTTCAGGACGTTCTCTTTTTCCCAGCGATGCGGCCAGAGGAGCAAGGACAAGCTTTAGTTGATGGGCTCGATAATAGTTCCAATTGTTAGAATTGTTGTTTCGGTTATCGTTTTATGGTTTTCTGTTTGCGTGGGTTGTTAACATTATGATGTTAGCGTGTGGTTCTACGAATAAAACGTTGTTGCTGCTGTAATCCAACATTGCCGTGTTTTTTTCTTCGTTGTTGATACTCTCTACTATCTGTTGCATAACTTGCTCGCATTCTCTTTCTATTTTCTGAAATTTTGGAAGTCAAATAAAATTTATTGAGTGTGACACTGAAGTGGTTTTGCCGAGTAAGAGTCACTGCCATCATCCTTCAGGATGATCCTTGCATGAGTTTTTCGGGAGCGAACTTGTTTAACTAAGAAATCTATCCTTAATTGGAGTTCCCATATTAGTCATATGAGTAGACGATGAATAGCGAAATAAAGGGAATGTTCATATACGACATCGGGCCAGTTAAGTGTGTAGTCACGCTTCACATGAATTTATCATGATTGCGTGATGATATCTACCTCCCATTTCAGCCATTTACCGAATAGCCGTAGCAGTAAATTGCACTAAATACAGGAGGGAAGGAGCATTGTACTAAATAATGATACGCATAACCTCTCGGTATCTAAATGCGAACTTGTATAACAGTTTGCTCTCGCAGCTCATGGAATTCGAAACTTAATTCTCTCAGGGAGTCCTTTTACAGCCTGTTTATCTCATTCTTAAATCACCTCTCATTTGTTCAAAAGACTAAAAAATAACTTAAAACATCAAAGTAAACCAATACTAATAAGATTTTGGAGTTAGATATTCTTCAAAAATCGAATATAACATATCCTCTCAATTTCTCAAAGGACAGAATATTTGTTCCTTCACGATGACATATCCAATGGATGAGAACAACGCCACAGTAGTTAGATATTGAGCGTAAGACTGTACGGGCACATTTCTAACGAGATAAGACAATAATTTGTTCTTTTCAAATTTCCTATCACAGTAATAAGCACGCTCTTATTAGTATACATTATATTTCAAAAATTGTGCCTCTGTGTAATTATTAAAAACCTTGTTTTTTTTCCGAGCTTTGTGATTTATTTTAAAGCGTCACTTGAGCTTAAACTCTTGCAGGCAAATTTCGTTCTTTTCTTTCCATCACGGTAAGACTACCGTATCAAATTATACTGTATTTCAACTTTAGTATGTAGTACTACAAGTCTCCTCCTAATTAACAGCGTTGGAAACTTGTAAAGCAATTACTGTAACAGCAGCTGAGCCCATATATGATAATCTTTTGAACTGTGTTGCACAATGCGCTAAATGTTTGATGTCAGCGCTCGCCGCGTAAAATTTTATATTGTAGCTTTCCCACAAGGGTAAGAGACCTAACACCATTTTCTAAGTGAAAATCCACTTTCAAGCTAGCCTATTTGTACTGTGATAACAATCCCATTAGGAGAACTAAACGACACGTAAGCTTGATCACGCTAGAGTTACATAGCGTGACTGAAACTAGTAGTAAGGAAGAAGAAATGGAAGAAGCTCAAAATTCGCTAAATGTAGGGAAGAAGCACCAGAAGAATCATGTGAACAGGATTTACAAAGCCTTTATAAAGACCAGAAAACAGAGAGGGACGATCTGACCACGCTTCTCCGGCATCTCGTCTTTTGTCGACCTCCTCCTCCTTACGGGTGGCTTTCAAACCTATCTCCTTATAGCTATGAGGGTCACCCCTCTTTCCTTCGTTATTGGGCTTTTCAAATTGGTTGGTTAATGAATAACCTTTTCAACTAATTTATCTTGATTTTATGTAGTATTAAGAGCCTAATTTATTCGTTGGGGAACTGTAGCAGACACATTCGTACGTTGGTAAGTCTAAAGATGAACAGTCGTTAAAGATTAATGGGAATTCGACAATAATTG